CCATGAAAGTTCAAAGCCATTTATCTTCAATAAGGTTACTTGATGCAATTTCTAACAGCAAGAACCCCTCAGTCCTGGGGCTTTCTTCAAGATTAAGTGATGTATTCAGATAGGCAACGTCTCAGGAGGGTTTTCAGTACCTGGAAGATATAAAGCTCAATCTAGTCGAAGGACAGCAGGCTTTGCAATTCGTGTTTCCCATTTGCCTCCCACTAAGGTTTGTTAGGCTCTTTTTTGGAGCCTGGCATTCCTTTGTGAAAGTACTGAGAACAGCCATCTTTGCAATGGCTGTTAGTCCTCATCCTTCTTTTGAAAATGATCACTGCCTGCTAATCCTTCACATGCATGTTCTGGAGGGGCAGAGCCCAAAGAGGAAAAAAAAAAGTGTGCATTAGTCTATTGTCTTTGTGGAGAGAGAAAAAATGAGTGACTGTAGTCCTAATTAAGGGTATGAGGTATAGGTTTAATTTGATGTTCTGCCAAAGATGTTTTGGGTGGTTTTCAGCAAATACGTTTTTACCTTGGGGGGAGCTATACAGGTGAAAGACAACAAAACTGTCGGGTGCCAGGGTTTGGAGGAACTACTAGCAGCTGCGGGTAGCTGGGTGCCCACCAAAACCAGAGGAGCTGTGGGGCAGGATTGGGCGTGGGTGTCCCCACTCACTGGGCAGCATCAGGGCCATTTGCACACAGACTCACAGTGGCAAGGGCTGACCCTCTCCTCTGCAGTGCTCCCAGGACGAGGTTCCCAGCAGACGAGAGACCCTTTTGCTGGGTGGAAGGTGCTGATGTGAAGAGACACGTCTCCACGCAGAGCCTCAGCTCCCTGCTGGTTTGCTACTCTCAGGGAGGTCTGATCATTTCCCTGACAGACCCCGCTGTGACCTCACTCCGAGTGGTTTCTGTTGAGTAATGTTTCTGTCCGGAGGTTTTTCTCCTCTCTCAGTTGTATGTGTGTGCCTCCGGAGCCCGCAGGCACTGCCCTGTGCTACCCTGCTGTGCAACCCCCTCATTTTCTGCAGGGTCATCTCTGCAGAAGATGAATCATCTTTTTGTGTGAACAGTTCTGGTGATGATACATGTGGCAATCTTTGTTTTCTGCCATTCACTCAGACAGTGTGAGCATGAAGAGTTAATTGGATTTAAAAAAAAAAAAAAAAAAAAAAAGGATTAAAAAACTTATGCTTGTGTCTGAACAGTTCAGAAGCTGCAGTTCCTCCATGGGAGATGTTTCTGATTCATCTGGAGGCAGAAGTGCATCTCTCAGTCTCTTCTGACAGACTCTTCTCCGATCAAAGTGTTTTTCAGGTGTGTTGTGGCCTAGGAAAGCAGATAAATCACCTATACTACAGTACTGCCAATCGGGTTTCATTTCTCTGATGCCCAAAAGAGAGAGCCATGCTGCAATATCCAGCAATTTATTGTGAACCATTGATTTTGTTATAACAGCTTCATTGTCCAGCATTTACCATCCCTCCTTTCTCTAAGAGCTGACCAGCCTGTATTCATAAAGGATGGTATGAAACGGAGGATGTGATATCAGAGTCCAGTGGGAAGAGGACTACTGCCCTACTTCTCAGCAAGGCCTCTGGCTGGCACTGGCACAGCAAGATCCTTTGTCATCTTCAAGATGATGAGACTCGGGATGCTTCAGCTGATTTATAAGGAGTCATGGATATATGATGTGAGCTTAATTCATAATGGGATTGAGCTGAAAGCACTAATGCTGTTTTACTGCAGATCTGACATTAAAATTCACACTGTGTCTGATGGATAGTGCAGAAGAACCAAAGTAGGTTTTCTAGTGGGTCTGATAGCAATCCATCTGGCTCAGCCTGATGAAATTATTGTTGCAATTTACTAATCTAGGCACAAGAAAATCCATCCACGAACACAGATATGCAAAAGCTCTAAAAACCCCACCAACCCACTATTTTTCTATGTAAAAAAATTAAAACAAAATAAAGAGGGAACACTGCTCTCAGGTAGGTAGGAAAACAGAATATTGCAACAGCTGCATAACAATTTTGCAAGATCTCATTTTCTCCTGCACCAAATGAAGGGTACTACCTTACTTCAAAGAAATGTAAGGCTGTGTTCTTCACATTTTTGAAGAAATTTGGAGTGACTGGGTATAACATGTTATAAAGATGTAAAATATTAGAGTACTAAATGAATTCTAGAAGCCCTAATTTCAGCCCAAATTTGGGAAGCCAAGCTGCAGCTGCCTTTCAACCATGAGTACCTGTACAAAGTGCTATATTATGGGCACTGAAAGAGTGCATGTAAACTGAATTTCATTGTTGTTCCTACTTGCCAGCATTTTAGGATTTATGTCCCACAGTGCAGAATATTTGCTTCAGCTTTGCTTTATGGCAGTGAAGGGTTGCTCAAAGGCTTTGAATTATGACAGAATTACAATATCTTCCATGGTAGAAGTCCTTAAGTATACCCTGAAACATTTGAGTTTTATGTTGAGATGCTTATGAAGGCTGGATTTAGCACCCATATCTCCTTTCTCCCCAAAATGTGTCCTCCTTTTCTGTACTGGGAGCCTTACTGGACAGATTTTAATCACTAGTCCAACATATCTGGATTTCTGAAATCCCTACCAGAGCTGGGGCTTTGCAGCAGTGGACAGAGCCAAGCAAGCAGGTTACTTGATTGACTGCAAGGAGCAGAAAGAAAAAACAACCTCACCCAAGAGATAAAAGTGGGAGGAGGCAAGCAGCACCATGGGCTCTGCAAGCCGAAGGGTGAAACCAGGTTGAGAGCTTGAGAATGGGCTGAGAAGGGTGGCCACAAGGTGAGGGGGAAGACTGAGAAAGGAAATGGAAAGGCTGAACTGTTGGTGTGGCCATGAGAAAGCTCTGGGAGAAGGACACGTGGGATGTGAAGATATCTGTGTAGGAGAGGTCACATTTCCACTGTGCCTTCTGCCCCATCAAAACCAGAATACCAGGATACTGGCAAGGGATGGAGATGCCCATCCCAGAGAAGTGTTGCCAGAAATACACTGGTCCTTTGGTGAGGGGCATGCCCAGGAATACCAACAGCTCATTCTTCATTTCAGTAGATATTTCAAGAACAAAAGGTGCCCTAGCAAGAAGTAAATAGTCTGGAACAAGTGAATACCCAAAGAATATCCTTCCCCTAGGACCAGTTGTAATCAGGCAACAAAAGCAGCATTATGTTAGGTCTCTACAAAAAGCTCAGGAAGTTTAAGCTAGAGGAACTGTTTTTACTGGGGTTTTATTGCTTTTGTTTTGTTTTAATTCAGCAGCAGAATATCTGCTGGAGGAGCTGCAGAAGCCAGTTTCAGTCCACAAAAATGCCAATGATTTATTTATTGCTATCATTTAGGGAAAGGGCAGCAGTTGCTGGTTTTGAATATTTAACATTGCAGGGAAGAAGCAAGCCACTCTGAAGCCCGCATGTTCCAGTGAAGCGCTGCAAACCAGCGTGCCCGCCCTGGCCCCCAAATTCAGAGGTGGGAGAGCTGTGAAGTTATGCCCCAGCACACTCTTACAGGGAGTAAGACTTCTTCTTCAGGCTTCAGCTTGAATGGTCACGAGCAGCCTATTGAAGATACCCCAGCTCCTCTCTGAGCCGTGACCTGCTATGAAAGCCCAGCTAGGGAGGTGAGGTGCATCTGCAACTCAGAAGGCCTTACCTGCGTAGCGTTCATCTCAGGAACATTGCAATTTGTTTTACTTCACCCGTCATTTGTAATAATTCCCAGGAGAGCAGTAGGTGGGAGAGATTAGCATCAATGTTTTCGTGTACCCAAAGCAAACTCCAGCAAGATGCCTTTTGAAACGCAACGCTGAAGGACTGTTCTTAGCTTGCTTCCCCCACCTTCCTTGGTTTTCCAAGGGACTCAAGCAATGAGCCTCAGTCTCTTTAGCTGTTAACTGATCCAACCCATCAGGTGTTTCCCAAAAAAGCATTCAGGAGCAGCCAGGCTACAGCCACACGCGGGCAGAAGGGAAAACAGGAAAAGACAAGTTCTCATGCTTCTCATGTGTCACGCTCACTGTAGAGACCCCCCCCCTCCAACAGATCACCTACTGTGGTGGGATTTCACTGCTGTTGTTGGCTATGGAAGAAACATGCCTGACTGCAGATGGGGCTGAGTGTCAGGAGATGGACAGCAACTGCCTCTGACTTCCCCCGAGGACCCATCCAAGGGAGAGGCTCTTAGAGAAGCCCATACCTTCTTGTGAACATTGCTGTCTGTGAAATGCTCTCAGCAGAAGAAAGGGATCATCATCATCCCCCTCATAGCCAATTTGCAAGCAGAAATTCTGGCTGCATTGTTTTAAAATCAATATTTAGCAGCACACACTGCGGGTCTAAGAGACATAAAATTCAATAGCAAGATCTGTACACAGCTTAGAACTGTCCTGATCCTTTCTTTTCTGAAAATCTCTTTTTGAATGCTTAAGAAAATAGCAGCTAAAAAGGTGAATGGCCCCATGGCTGGCTGTGGTTATCCATCCTGGAGCCAGACCAGCTAACAAACCTCTCACTGCCCATCATGATGCAAGAATCAGATTTAACCAAGCTCACAGTGGTCACCCACTATCTGTCATCCCCGATTTAATGTAGGATGTGGCTTCCCAGGCCCTGGCTCAGCAGTGGTTGTGACTTTTTCTTCGAAGTTTTCATTGTCTGGGTGGTGAAGGTTGTTTCCTTAGAAGCTGAAAGGAGCTCTGAAACTGCAAGTTCGCTGGGGGCTCGGTTGTGACCACAGCATAAGAATTAAATCATTATTGCTAGTATGGAAACCTGGGTGCTCTTGTCCCTTAGTGGAGTGCTTTACCTTTTACCAGGCACAGGTCCCTCCTTAATACCACGCAATTAGACAAACAATGAAGGAAATACATTTACATAACATGCTCAGGCCAAAGGTTTCTATGGGTCAACCTGGGTGCACTTTCCAGGAGAAAGTGTTGTTTCCAGTGTCACTGGAGGTTGACAATAAATTGATCAGCCTCTTTAAAATTTCTCATAAAATTGTATTAACAAAACGGTAAATACATTACACAGAGACTGTAACCACAGGATGTTTACATAATGCCCACCGTGGACGAGTACTAAATACCATAAAAGACCTGAGACCCCCCCGAAAAGTCCGCAAGTTCTGACTCTCACAAGGCAGCTACAGCACCACTGTTCCCCCTCCTCCTTCTCCTCCTCTTGCTTCTTCACATTTCAGCTTCGGTGTTGTGAACCTTGCTGGTGGTTATTGCAATTCCTATCGCTAGGCTTCCGTTGTCGGAAAAGAGCTGAGCCAGGGAAGTGTTCAGCACAAGGCAATCCCCATCCGAAATGACAGAGTCAACGCATTCCAGTACCGACCTGGGGGTCGCCTCCCACTTAAGGCGCCGCTGGTTCCTGTTGAGCTCAAGCCGGTACGTGAAGTTGTCGGCTTGGGTCGGCGTCCCGATCAGCATCATTGTGGCGAAGAACTGGGGGTGGCCTTCGTACTTCTCCTGCTTCCTGAGGACCAGCAAAAACTGGTGGCCAAGGCAAGAGTGCATGATGATCCAGTCCGTGGGTGCGGGCAGGTGCATGTCCGTGGCCAGGAAGACAATCTCTGCCCCTTGAAGGATGTTGATGCGGTGGGTCTGCCTCAAGTGGGACACCACCACCTCCAGGTGCCCTTCCCACGGGCAGGAGAAGAGCGGGCACGTGCAGGGAACCAGCTGGGGGTCGTGCACTGCTTCGTGGTGATGGCAGGGAGGAAGGATGCCTTGCTCCGCGGACGTCTGTGCAGCTGCACAGCGGGTCGGTGCATACTACGAGAAGAGAGAAATCACATATGATAGCAGGTAGACCAGGAAGGGGTGCAGATATGCGAGGTGCGGACCCCACAGATGTCAGCCACCTAATACCCCACCTAAAACAGCAACAGCGGGAATGCCAGGAACTCAGGACTCCAGACAGAGATCAGGGACAACCCAGATCTGTAGCTGCACAGCAAAAGGTGCTGGCAGCTGCCTTGTTCTTCAAGAAAAGAGAGAAACTGTTTGAGCCATGATAAATCACCTCAAATGAAAGTGATGTATGTGTTTAAAGAGTGATTTCATTAGTTTTGGGGGGAAAATCTGATTAAAAAGAAAAGAAAACCCAACAAAGCAAGGACATCATGGGGTACTTTATATATTTAAGGCTCTTGCAGCTCAGAACAAGGAAATGAAATATGTATAGCTTTATTATTCTTTAATGAAACACACTGGCAAATACAGGCATTTGTCCTCAAACAATATGCTTTATAACACCCATAATTTGTGAAATAAAAGTCAGTTTTTATTGTATACGATGCTTCCTTTTTTTTTTTTCTTTTTGTCAATGTATTTGTGCTTAATTGATGTGCTTACTTCTATAAATCTTAAATGGCTCTCAAAGGTGGATGGATGGCAAATTTAGGGAATTTTTATACTAAAGTAAATTTGGATTAAGTTAGGACAGCTAGCTAAAAAGGCAGCAGCTCTTGCAGAAGGATTCCACGTGAGGACTAGGAAGCAAACTGCTCTGCTTCTGTCAAGAGGATGTTGAAGAGAAATGAGTAAGTCTTATTCAACCAAAAGTGTATCCACATGTAATGCTATTCAGGAAGAGTAATGGCTCTCCACAATAACTCTGTGCATAGACAAACCCTGAGGCACATACATGCTGGTCATGATTCATCCTACCCAATTTTAGGCATTTACTTCAGCCTCCAGGGATGGAAACCTGGTTACCTGGGACTGCCTCTGCAGTCAATAGAGGGAGGTAGCCCTTCCCAGTGGCGGATTCAGATCTTCACTGGAGTAATTTACCTCCTAAAAGTGGCACCAGCTGCTGCCAGAGTGACTAAGTCTGAGATCCAATCTGCCTAGTTGTACCTAAATTTTAGATGATTAAGCATAGGATGACATTGTCTCTCTCTCTGAACTCCTTTGGAGAGGCTTATAAGGAGTGTAAGAATCAAGAGTGCATACATATATAGTACATTTTGCTCTAACATATGCTTTAGGGAGAGTCGTGTAATTCCCCAAATGCTGCTCTGTGTCTGCTCATTTTAACATATGTACCCAGAATTACAGCAACAACAGTATGGTTTTAACATCTAACAGTTGTTCTCCTTCATGCCACATCCAAGTCATAGCAGATTTGGGCTTTATTCAGCTATTTTTGAGCACAGATTTGTTTTAACCAGGGGCAAGCATAATCCTGTATAATAGGTGCCAAATATGTTGCAAATGGTGTGTTGACTCATCTTTCTACAGATACCGTGTTGCCTTTTATTAACAGCCTTGATGTGAGAGTAAACATTCTTACTGTAAGCAGTTTTTCCCACCGAAACTTACACTTTTGCTTTCCAGGATGTTTTGGAAGGCAATCTCTTGGGTCACTCGTCCTCACTCTCGGCTTCCTTGCCAACCAGGATGACAAAGTCCTGGATCTCCATTCTCATTTTGTCAATAGCTGCCAAGGGATGTGATAGACAGAGCAGGGTTGTGATTGCTGCTGCTGTGAAATTTATGGTTCTTCCCAAGGCACTGGACATCAAAAGGAGCTGTTTCTTCTTCCTCTGACATTTGATATGAAGAATAATTGACTATTTAAGCCCTATTATTGAACCTTGCAGCTTTTCCTGTGGAGGATTATTACTCTGAATGTACTGTTCTACTTTTCTTTCCCTCATATTTTATTTGTTTTGCTGTATAAAATTCAAGAATATAAACTTTCCAAGAAGATAATGAATTGAGGACAGATAAATGACTACAATTGTCTGGGAAATAAAACAGGTCATTATAGACTAATCGAGGCTTGTGGTTTTAGCTGCCTGCTTATCGCGGTGGGATTGCTGGTTCACACTTAATTCTACATTAATTTTTGCATCCCATTAGGATGAAAGTTATGGTTAATTTAAACTCTTTTTTGGTGGAGGAGGCTACTGCAATGGCAGACCATAAAAGCCTTTTTAAAAAAAATCCCTGAAATGCTAATTGCCTCATAAAATGAATTCCGATCTCTCAATCTAATACAGTGGGTGTGAGCAATTACTTTCTCTCACCAAACTGTTAATGCAACATTAGTGATTATACTAATTAAAACTAATGAACTCATACCCACATGCTGATAAACCTCTCAACCATTCGACAAGTTCCAGCCTTCTATCAGTTTTATTTAACTCCTCTTTAGGAAGATGAATCTTAAATTAACCTCTTGAATAACATTCAAAATTAGGTTTTGAAATGTGAAGCTTTATAGACTGTGTATAATTCTTCTCCAAAGATTACCAGAGTCAGAGAAACCATTTCCACTGAGGATGTAATTGAATTTAGAAATGCATTCTCCTAATTTGATAAGTATGGAGAGCAATGGTAGCTCATCCATCTAAACTGTATCCGAGGTAAGAAAAGTATCTCCAAAAATCACTTTATGAAAAGCACCTTTCTATGGCTCAATAATTGGAAAAATAAATTACAATGATCAATTTATTCAATGTATCTTTCTTCTTTCCTTCATTTGTGATTCGTGTGTGTGTGTGTGTTCAAATAACTGAGAATTCCCTTTCACATCTCACATTTTTGAAACATTCCATGAATCACTTCATCAAAGGATTTTTGGTCTGACTTTGTTCAGGTTTTCTGAAAATTCTGGAAATCCAGCATAAACCACATGATCCACTTTTATTCTCTGAATAGGTGAGAACCATCTTCAAAATCTGTTTTCTGAATGATTCAACATTATTGTTTTTAAATTCTGAATTTTGTAATACTCTGAAAGAAAGGTTTAAAAATTGCCTGTCTGTGAAAAAAAAAGTGTCACAGAAAACTACTATTTTACATTTACTTTTGAGGTATGAGCGTAAATATTGGGGTGCCTGTGCCCTTGTTGGTCTTTCATATGGATGTGAATCAAACCTCTAAAATTGAAATGCAAAACGGGCATAAAATGGTCACCTTGAGTGCATTTAAACTCTTGAATAAATATTTATGAACGTTTTTTTAAATGTTTAATCTGCTCTAGTATTTATTTTCCATCATTTATTGCCTGATTACCTAATAAAATTAGGTTTATTATATTGTTGTGTCAGTCCAGTATTATTCTCAATTATCTTTTAGCCTGTTGGCCAATTTCAGTCAAATTTAACTGTGTGATAGAAGTCTCAAAGGCTTTAATTTTCAACTGGTTTAGTGAGAAGAGGCAGCAGGGTAGAGAAGCATGACCCTTTCACGTCTCCAGGGAGGAACAGCTTGCTACGTGGGCAATATTACATTGTCAGATAGGAGAGAACCTAAACAATGGCAGTTTGATCCCAAATGTATTATGGACACCAGAGAACTCACATGAGACAGTGTCTTTATGAACAGGAGAAAGGGCTTCAGCCAGAGTGCTCCTCATTAGACATGAGATAATCCCACCACGAGACACCAAACCGCAGGAAATAAGACTCTGCTGCTCACAGAAAAAATTTCTTTTTAATGATGTAGCTTATTACAGTGTAATTCTTTTTAAGAACAAGTCACTTGGCAAAGAGCAATTTATAAACACATGGTGCTTTTCTTATGGGGAAAAAAAAAAAAAAAAAAAGTTATATTTGGATGGACACAGGGCCTCTGGGTCCTGCCCCGGAGTTTCTGCAGACTTTCTGCTAAAAATGCAACAAACTGCTCTAGGTGTGAATCATCTGTTTTAACTTTGATGCCTGAGGATTAGGTGGCTAACTCTGAATAACATCAGCTCCTTTTACAGCTCACTCAGAACCCCCCCCGCCCCGAGCGCAATTCACTTCATGTCAAGAGATGCCGAAGGAACGTCCCCTCACACACCGCTCTACATGCAGCTAGGACTAAACCTATCTTTGGGGCAGACCCACAGAGGTTTTACTGGTTTCTAGGCAAGGAGCAGAAAGGCACCCCTATTTCAGGCAGGAGGGGGCTGTACCACTCTGGGCTTCTCCCACTGCCCTTGGGACAACACGGTCCGTGGAGAGAGAAATGAATGCCTGTTCACATGAGGGTGTAAATCTGTGGCTCCCTACCACTATTACACCTCCAGTTGCCAGTGTCTTGATAGAAAATTCAGGGGAAGGTCAAAGGGTAGATCAAAGAGGTAGAGATCTCCAAGATCTCCAAGAGGTAGAGAAGACGTAAGCATATCACTGAGTCTGCAGCTGTAAAGGAGAGAGGGCTTTGGTATTCCTCCTCATGCGCTGAGGGACCTTTTGTATTTTCTCTAGCAAAGACTTTAGGTCAACTACGGTAAAAATAGTAGAAACAGAGGCAGCAACCCACACCTCACCCTTGGTGGCTGAGCTCCTGGCCCTGTGGGGCCCAAGCAAGGGCTACATCACAAACCTTCAAGCTCTGCTTCTCTGCTGCGTGTTGGTGGCTGCTGCCCTGAGCAGCCAAATGCCTTGCAATTAAAGTCCTGACTTGCAAATGGAGAATTTGCTAGATGGAAACCCCTCAGGGTGAGGCAGGGTTGGGTGCAGTCCTCCCACCACATGGGACAGGACCCAGATCCTGATGATGTGGTGAAAAAGGAGGGTCAGTAGCATCGCTGCATTGTAGAAGAACAAACACTGCTCAGGGATTTAGACTGAGCATCAAATGTCACCTTTCTGCACTTCCCAGTGTTCCCCAGTGTTATACTGGGAGACTGGATGCCTTATTCATACTTTTACTTACAGTAATGCACATAATGTATTAAAAAAATCAGCCTTTTACATGCCTGTGAAGAGTATCAGTGTGTGTCAAGAACATCCCAAGGAACGAGGACAAGGACTCCTTCGCTGCCCAGT